TTGTTATCTTTGCCCAGCCTTTGAAGTCACCAATGTTCGAGACGGGCACAGCGTTTGCGGCTAGGCGGGTCTACAGGCTGTGAAGGGTCGGGCGAAAGAAAGGGGTCGGAATTGATCAGGTGGAGGATGAAGGGCTTCGTGCTCTGGAGACGCTCGCGCCTCTGTTCGGCCCCTCGGCGTATTGTAGCAACATACCTTGTGCAGCTCGGAAACTTCAATGATTAGAGACTGTGGGCTGAAAGCACTAGCAGAAAGCTGTGCTGTAGATTTTTGTGTTTTGTGTCCTAAGGCTCACTCAAATTGCAAATATTTGAGAATATGCGCTTATAGCTTGTAAGCCATATGGCCGGTCGCGCAGCTCTGATTTTGATCGCCGTTGAGCAGAAAGTGTAAATTAGCGGTAGTCGCTTTCAGAGCTTTTCAGCAGTTTGTTGTTTCACATTCTTTACATTTGGTACTCCTTTCAGTTCTGTGCATCTTGCGCTTCCAAATTGCATTCGTGCCTGAGCCCCTCTGCAGCGGAACTCGCACTGCTGCAGGCTTAAGCCGGGCTGGCTCAATGCGGTTCTGCGGTTGTGCGTGCAACTGCAAAATCCAAACTTGCTATACATACCCTTGCCACAGTCCTATGCAAATCCTTGTCTTGATCTAACGCCCTTTCGGCTGTCATCTTACAGATCGCTATAAGAGTGCTTGACTCTGAGCGCAGTTGTCACTCTTGGTCATCGTCATTGCTGTCAACAGAGTGGTCATTGTCCTTGTTGCATTACTGTGCAAGTGCAATCGTCCTCCCTGCTTCTGCTTCTTGCAGCTCGCGACTGCTGCTGCTGCTGATGCTGCTGCTGCTGCTGCTGCTGCTGCTGCTGCTTGTACTTGTACTATGAAGAAGAAGAAGAAGTAGTAGCAGTAGTAGTAGTAGTAGTAGTAGACTAGTACCACACTAGTACTGGTACTAGTGCTAGCACGAACGCCGTTACTAGCACCAGAAATAGCTACTGCTGGTTGGATGTTGACTGATACTAGTAGTGAGGCAACTGGTGAAAATCTCATTCAGGGCTTCAGGGTTGCATGAGGGGTTGCGACGCAGCCCAGGACACGAGGATGATGTGCGCACCTTCTGTTACATGGCTTCATTAGCACGGCTTCAAGAGTCCAGCTGGATTCAGGTTTCTAAGGTCTAGAGTGCGAGCTCCAAACATGTTCCTGTATGGCTTGTCCAACTTTTCTTGTACAATGAGTTGCAGCTAATGTTGAGAACGATGCCGCCGTTTGAGAGGGCAAACATGGGACCGGGTTGTCCAAAAAATTGAACTTCTGGAGTTTCTGTTTTCGACGTTCAGTTTGAGAGGCAGTGCAACGCCATCCAAATTGAGCCGGAACGCGAATGGAGTTTACATGTCAAACCTTGGGCTGAAATCTGAAGATTGGGCGTGCAAGAAATGGCAGCCGTCCGAGAATAATGAATTTAATTATCAACGAAGGGCAAAGAGTAGCCGTCTCAGTCTCCTTTGCGCATGGGACATTCAGACTAATTTCAGGAAGCGCACCGGAGGGAAAACTCAGAACCCTGGCCTTGTTGCACGCCATTTGAAGGCGGCCACTTTATTCCGGACACGGAGTCTTCCACCTTGCACAGAGTTATGGAAACCTCAGGCCAACCTTCTCCATTGTTGGTTGCTGATCCTAATCACCCTGTTAGAGTCTACTTGCTGGCTGTTCTTGTGAGGGTATTTCCAAGCTTTAAAGGCGCGTCATGCAGAAGTACAGGCATACATACTTCACCTTCAGTTACTTATGATGACTGATGAGCATGATTGTGATGATGCTGGATGCAGATCGGAGCTTAGGCCGGAAGTTCTATGAGACGTTTGGACTTCCAGCGAGTGCCAACACTGATCCAGAGTTCTTCAGAGACTTCGAAGAGCAGGTGGATAAACGAAAATCAATGATGCACCTCGGCTCATATGGATCTGAGGGTTTTGTGAGAATTTCAAATTAGGCGGCTGGCAAGTGCCCCAAAAATATCAACATGTTCTGACGACTACTGACGACTCCAGACTTCAAATTCCAAAAGCCTCCAGGGCTCCTGAAGAGGAAAAAAGGTTTACTCTCTTTCCACACCAGTGCGGTGCATGGATGGTCTAAGAGCTGTTTGCCTCAGGATGCAACAAGAGCAGTCTCTGATGGCCTTGCATGGGCTCGGCTTCTGATGTCTGTGGGCTCCAAGCCGAAACTTGGTGGTTCTTAGTAGGGAAGAACGGAATCTTGCACAGGGATTATCTGGGGATCATATTCCTTCATTCCTTACTAAGGACCATTTAAAAAAGCCCCTGGCTCGCTCCGCAAGGACACAACATCAGGAAGAGATAGCTAGGAAGATGGATGGCATGATGGTACTTTGCTGTCAGCATATGAGCTCTCTTGGCTTCCAATCGGGGATCATATTGCCACCCGTAGAGGGATTTCATCCGTCTTGCAGTCTTTTTTAAGGTTATTGATCACCATGCTACTTCGCCAGTGTATTTGGCAGCTGAGCTAGGGCCCTGGCAGGTTTTGGCCCGTGCCCGTTTTAACCGTTATCTGCTGGTATCACAAAGGCGTTTCTCAAAATTAAGGGTCACTTTTGCGACCCTGATGCAATGATGGACTTATCATTTTTGCGTCTGAGGGACAGCCACAACAGGCTATGTCCGGTCTGGCCAGGCAATACCATGAGATCATGTCATCATTCAAGGTTTTGCGACTCGGCAATGTGCTGGAAACGAAGCCTCCTTTTATGCACAATTGCTGCGCTTGACCGATTCAATCCATGAATAGATTAGGGCCACGCTTGGGTGTTTCTCAAAAGCACGGTTGTACAGGAGCCTCTTGAAACAGCCAAAATTGACCGTGCTCTTTGCTGAAACTCCCAATTTTTCCTTCCCAGTGCAACCAGGGGCTCTGGGTCGCGCAAAGCGCTGACTTGATGCCATGGGCACGGCAAAGTATACTTTGGATTTCCATGGCTACTGCTGTGCGGGACGAAAGGGGCATGCCTTGTTCTTTGTTTCTTGGTTTGCGAGTCAGTGCTTTAATGTTTCATGCCAATTGCCTGCCCTCCGCAGGTCATACCCAGCTGCCCTTTGCCACCCTTACCACCATGCCGGTCCTTGCTGCGGCAGGCAGAAGGGTATGGTTTCAGGGAGAAGGATTTATTCATCTAGGGTGACTGGTCTACTCGGAGGCTGCAGGTAGGTATAGGCATGAGCAGAAGCAACCTGAATCTGACTCAATTAGTGTTTTGCTCGTTTCAATGTTGCCTGAGAACCGACCATGAGCCTCCAGGTAGGAAGAACATATTCAAATCACCCAGTTTGGACCCTGCAGCGCAGTCTTTTTGTTTGTAGCATCGCAGAGTAGACTTATGTTTTGTTATAAATTCACATCTTCTTTTCCCGCTGAGGGTTTCGGGCTCTGTGCCCAACTCTGCCTTCCAATTTTGCTCCATGATGACCATGATGTGACGCAGGCATGTGGGAGACGTAAATGTTTGCAACTTCTTCAATCTGCTGCTAGCTAGTTCTTTCGAGTCCTCGACTCCCAGTCCGTTGTGCAACGATTTCGGAGGTCAGGGGGTAGGGTGAGTCCAGGACTGGCACCGAAGTGTGCCCAAGAGCTTTCCACAAGGCAGTAGCAGAATCTCTTCAAGCCTTTTTTCCGGTTACACCCTCAAGCTGAATCTCTAAAGTCGCAAACACCTACGGTGCGGTCATCCTGTTACTTTTTCCCCCCCAAATCCATAATTTTCAGATGTGAGCTGTGAGGTCTTAACCTGGGCCCCTGCTTGGGCAAACACGGCTTCTTAGGTCTAGAAAGCTCTCAAGTGCTGGCCCATACTTGAGACAGTGGTTCCAACCTTGCACGGGGACCTGAGCTCTAAACCCTAGCCCTATCCGTATATGCATACAGTATACATGTTTATATCAGCAGAAAGAGTGCCCATAGTCCATGTGTAGCCCACCTCAAGCCTGAACCCACCTGCACCTCTAACCCCCAGCACTTGGATTCCTAGACCTTGAACCCTTCAACTTGTAGAACCCAGACTCTAAACCCTGACCCTACCACCCTTTAAAAAAGCATCTTTAGATACAACCTAAGGCGCAGCCGCCATGGCGGGAGCTGGTGGGACGCTCTTCGGCTACAACCGCTGGGCCCTGAGCTGGGGATCCATCTTAGGATCTAGGGAATGGGAGGGTTGCATGGGAATGTTCAGAGTGGGGCCATGCATGGAAGATGGGGTTTGAGGGCTTGAGGGCTGGAAGCCGCACATAAGTGAACCACTCGCAAAAATGAACCAGGACGGTGCGGGTAGGACCAAGTAGTACAGGTCGTAGTGCTAGTAGAGGAAGTCTCTTCAAATCGGGATATTCCCGGGCGCGGAGTTTGAATATTGTCACTGCTGATTGTTACCGCGCTCCGAGCTTGTTAAAAAGCAACAGTATTCTTCCAGATTTTTTTCCAGCCCGGCGGGAATATTTTATTGTCATCCCCTCAAACTAGCTTTTGCTAGCTCCGCGCATTGTTCGTTTGGGGACATGTAAGGCTGGTTTAGGGTCACACGTCTACCTGCTTGCTTACTCTGCCATCTCCCTTTTGGATCCTTTCTGGGTTCGGGGAATCTGTGTATAAGAAAGAACAGCACTGAGAGTACCTGTAACAAGTAGGACGGAAGTGATAGATGGTCTCATAGCATGAAACATGAAGCAGGCATGTCCTGCAGCAGCAGCACCGGTCAATAGAACTCCAAAACTAATACCATAAACCCCAGAACCCGAAAGCCCTGAAACCCTCGACCCTACCATCCCCAATATCCGGTTGCAGCCCAATCCACAGCTGAGGGGTACAAAAATACCCCAAATGATAGATCCGGTTGAATTCTTCTCGAAGTTACCAAGCTTGGAATCCCCAAGTCTGACATCTTATGACTGAACTCAGGAGAAAATTATCTCTATGACCGGAAGATGCGCCAGGCTGGGACACGTCAAAAGGTTTTGATTATCCTTTGAGATACAACTTGACAGGCTGTGAGGTTCTCGTGGAAATGCAGCCTGTTGCAAAGCCAGAAGTTTTAGTTGCCAGTGCTTTCCCGCACAGCTGCTTTGCAGGAAACAGAGTACCAGAGACTCGTCGGACTTCAGACAACATGTCATGCAGCGCAAATTTCCCGACTTCATCTCCGAAGTTCGTGACTGGTGGCCAATTTTCTCGACTGAGGATAATGGACTTCAGAATCAAGCAGGCAGAGCTTTGGCGAGAAGATGTCCGAGACATCATTGGACTGACTTCAGCAGCACGGCGCAAACGATTCAGCGTCAGTGTAATGTGTACCCTACCCCAAACTCTACATAGGCCGCGTAGTGTTTGCAGGGCCCTTATGGGTCACCATGTTTTCTTGTTGGGAGGCTATCCGGGCCATATGCTATAGTATCCAACACCTAGGAGCATGAGCTGTATCAGGGGACGAGTCTTCATTGAAACCTCAGACTGCCGTCGGTCTAAGTCTTAACTTTGAGGACCCAGCAGGATCAGCTTTGACAGGTCCTCTCTTGTAAGCTGCATGCACGCTTTTGTTGAAGTGTCGTTAAAATGGGCAGATTGCAAGAGCTGTTTGGCCCACATGCGGGAGCTATAAAACAATCAAAATTAGCCTCGCCCCTACCGCACAAATTCTAGGATGAAGCCACGTGAAAGCGCTGCGAATGCTTCTTGCAGCACTTGAGGTGAAAATGGACACCTACCTCATCGTGAATGCTGTGCAGTTAGGCGGGCAGGGCAGGTGACAGTCCCTAAACCCGAAGCCTGAAGCCCAAGTCAGAAACCTTAAACCTTCAAGCCCAACCTAAATCAGCCTGAAGTGTCCCCCAGCAACACATCGGACGCAAATTTTACAAGTAATGATCATAGGAGTATCATTTCAGAGTCTGGCTTTGGAAGTTAGGTGTTACAATATGTAGCATCCCTAGGGCTGAAACCATGCACATTTTCTGTATTCCCTGTTTGTACCTATATATATATACATATGTATATATCTCTATATATGTATATATGCATATGTATCTATATATGTATAGATATATAGATACATTTGTAACTTTATATATCTGCACCTCTTTAAGGATCACAATGATACACTTGTTCACCTAAAACCACAGTGGTGATTCTGGCAATCGACTTTATAGTCATCACAGCAGTAGCAAGTCCATGTCCATGAAGTTCAGGCTTCACAGTCATGGCCTTCTGCGAAGGACGCCTAGCCAGCGGATACTTGGCCGCCATGGAATCGACTCGGTTCAGCGGTTTTGGGTAGACATGAGGGTTGTAAGTCTTCGGGGGCGGTTGGTGTATGGGCTAGACAGGAAAGCATAAGTTTGTACTCGGCTTGGCAAGCTCCAGCAATGTCTTCAGCAGATCTCTATGTTGAGCAATGTGTTCTAAATCCGAGTCTAGGTCCCTTACTTTCCCTGTGATATTCAAATCCACGTGAAAAGTTTGGGAAGTTTCCGGCCTGGGAGATGTTCTTGGTAAGCGTCCTGAGGAACCCCAACCTGGCTGGTAGGCTGCCACACGCTGTCGCTGGCAGGCTGGAGTTTGTGTGAAGGAGAGCGTGAGTTGTACTGATCATTACTGATAGTAACAGGGTTTTCTCTTTATTCGCCGCCTCCTGAAGAGCTTGAGTGTGTCCAGCGTCATGTTCACGTTCGCTCACTCCCACGAACGAGCCACAACACTCAGGCAAGATGGGAGTAACGGAACTCCCTGACATTTTGGATTTCTTGTGCAGAAACTTGCCCTTCACTTCCTCAAGCTGTGATAGAGAGATTCATTTGCAGGATCAGGTGCATTATTCACTGTAGTGCTTGCGATGGCGTGCATGTGTTCCTGGGTTGGTGGGCATCATGGCTTAAACGGCAGTCATACGAAACCATTCGAGATCTTACGTTCTGTAAATGAAAGCTCATCCCGACCTACCGTGAATCGTCAAAATTCGTGACTCGCATATACTCTCAGGCAAGCATGCATTCCCAGAGAAACCTGCTAGTTTGAGACATCCCTGTAGTAAAGATTGGGTTGATGGTCACCACAGGGCTTCATGTTTTCACATTCTGGTTCTTGATCCTCTGTCCTTTGCAGAACACACAGGCATTCGGTTTTGGGGAGTGTAAATTCTGCTTGTTCATTTTTTGCAAGCTAAGTCCTCTTCAGATGGAAAGAGAGGATGGGAAAATGTCAGCGTCCCCTGTTTGGTGGCTATCAACTCATGGATGACTTGACTAGAGCTCGATACGTGCCCGGGCCAGGGGCGTTCATGTACCTGCTGATGTCTGTTGCCCGCCAGCACTTTCTTTTGGCCTCTTGAAGGGTTTTGGCTGTTGCATTTGTGAGTTACAGGGCTTCTGCATCCGGGTCTCTCCTGAAGTTGAGACTTAGGTCTGGTTCTCTATGCATGCTTCCATCACGGCCAAGAGCTATGAGACCTCGCTGCACCTCTTGTCACACCCCCTCCGCACGGCTCTTTGCAGCGTGACCCCAAGATGGGCTGGGAAGCAGATGGCGCTTTACGCCTTCTCACGGATTCAGGACCTCTATCGTTCCGACGTATTGCGTGGTGAGCTCAGGAAACGCGGCTTCTCACTCAGCTTGTACGACTGCCTGTGCCTTCCTGGGCGCAGCTCGCGCCTTGGCACAGATAAGTTCATGTGAAATGAAATCATGAGATCGTGAGACCATCATTAGACGACCACTGAAAGAAGAAGGATGACTTGGGCACCTGACCGGAATTGGCAGTTGAAGCTGCCAAGATAGGTCTGGATGGGGCGAATTTCAGGATGGAAAGAGGATCTCTACCTGTGTTCAAGACAACAACAGCCGCACCTTCACCACCCAGATGTTCATGTTACCCAGGACAGGTTCCCAATTAGGGATGTAGGACCAGAATAGGTGCACATGAAGGAGCTGGACATGCAAATTTTGAGGGCCCAAGCAACAGCGGTTTGATGGCCCTGCCAGGTAGATCAGAAGGCGCTCAGAATGCAGGTGAGGGACCCCGAGAAGGGTAGATCGAAGTGGGGGGAAGCGGTGTAGTAGACAGTCAGATGACTCGTACGGGTGTCAGAACAAGAAGGGATTACTCGGTAAGCCCCGTTAAACTCCAAATGATAGCCACCGACTCCCGATCTGAAAGGAAGCGGCGCGGACATATGGCTCTACTTTTGAGAAGACCAAGACAGCCCAGACGCCTGGCCAAGTTGATTGTCAACGGGAGATTTTTGAAATTACTGAACAAGTATCCCTCTTGTTTTGTAGCCTTTAAGTTTAGAGGTTTCTTAGGGTTTTGTAAAGCATATGCTGTAGCATGCTGTAGCCAATGTAGTCAAGTGTACAATGACTCATGTACTATATATATGTACACATACATATATGTGTATACATATATATATATATATGATTGCTATTTGAGATTTTGTCAATCTCGCATTGCTGTGGGCACGTCAACTTTAAACAAATATATATATATCTACACACACATACATTAGTGCAACAATTAGGGATAGAAATTTCTTTAGCATGCAAGTGCGGCTGTCCCCACTGTGCTTGCCCCGACCGTCCAAGGATGTTTCGAGTCCCCTTTGCTTCTTGCCAGCAGACATTCGGGAATTTGGATTTTCTAGAAGTCTGGACTCCTGCTTGTATAAGGATCTTGATCGTGCAGACCCGCAGATCTGATCATGTTGCGACTTTAAGCACCGTTACTTACATGGAAATATTACCCCGATAATGGAGCATGACTTGGCGGGAAAGAACATGAAGAATTCAATAAAAACAGGAAGGTTGACACTGGGTCCTAAGGCTTGGTCAACTGTCAAGAGCTAGCCAGGCCTCTTCTTGGATAGAGCCACCGCGATGTTTTTGAGAATAGGTCACGCGTTTTTCCCTTGGTTGGGCTGGGTATATTGTCGTTGTGAGGATTTTGTGGGGTTTTGCCAAGGTCATCAGGTATGCTCCTCAAGAGGGACTCTTACAAGCTGGATGTGCTTCTAGGATTTAGCAGGGTATTTGCATGTTGATAGGTTATGTTAAAGAACGCAGAATTCCCCCCCTTTTGCGCGAACTCACTTGAACTTTTGTAGGCCCAAAGAGTTTCAACGTTAAACCATGTGCTTCAAGCCAAAAATCCAACCACATCACCCTGAGGCTCAAATCATCAAGAAAACCTAAGCCCTAACTCGAAGTCTGCGAGGCCATGGGTACCCAGCAGCGAGCATCTTGACTGGATATCGTTTGGGGTGCTGGTTTCATTTTGTTGAAGAAAGGGCTGAGGACATAAGGTTCGGGGTTTTGGGTATCGTTGCGTTGATCAGGGAATAGAGATGTGTCTTGGGCTGTAGTTATTTTGGGCCTCAACCGGGACGATGAGGCAGGGATGAATGTGCACCTCAAGCAAATCCTCTCTCGCACCTTATTACCATGACCATCCCTATGTCTTGAAGGCAGGAAAGTACTAGGCTCTCAGGAAGCAAATCCACCTCAGTGAGGATATTTGTTTGCTAGCAACAGATGCTTCTTGTCATCCTTGCGGCGAACTTTGTCATCAGCCTTATCGCCTTTCTAGTTGTTCTTTCACTCTCATCCTAAAGACGTTTCACTTGTTGGCGTGGTTCCTGTCAGGCCCTCACCCTTTGTCTGTTTGTGCCACCCCTACGTTCCTTACCTGGAACTCTGAACCCTACACCCAAAACGCGTAACCCTCAGCCCTAAGCCTTCAACCCTAAATCCCTTCAAGAAGAACTCATACTGCCATTACTATTATTTGTAGTACTAGTATTCTTGCAATTCTTAATAACCCTTTCAACCCTGTAGGTCTTGGGTGAGCCGTCATCGAGCTCCACACCCGCCCTGGAAGACCAGCAAGGTTCAGCAGGCCTCGGTTGACTGGAAATAAAGGGATCCAAATAGATATAAGGATACATTGGGTTATAGGTGTATATATGGATATTACCTTAAGAATGGAGAACCAATCGGAAAAGCAAATGAAAAATGAAATGGAAGCTAGGAGTTTAGAGAGTTGTAATGAGGACCTTAGCGCTTAGGGTCTAGTGTCACTAGGATTCGCGGGCTCAGAGGTGGGAGCTCCGGGGATCAGGGGTTTGGGTTTAGTGTTGTCTCCAATGCACCAGCTCACGAGTATGCCCTTGATGGGCGTGGCTGAAACTAAGGCGCTCCCCATGATAAGCTAGACGTAAGCATGTTCCTCATGGGAGTATTGTCAGATTTAGGGTCCACCAAAGCACAAAAACATGCAAGATTCCTAAGTCGCCGCACATGTTCAGGGCCCAAACGTGAAGTGCATGCGCGGCTTCAGGTTCAAGTTGTCCAGCCAGCAGCTAGGGCAATCCTTCTTTTTATAGCGAAATTTGTCGCACACTTGTTGTCGACGACACGATGGGGTGCTCCGGCTCTGTCGTCATTGATGATGGTGAGATTACCCAAAGGACTGGGCTTTGAGTGGCGCTTGCCGTATGAGCTACGTCCAAAATCATCATATTTGTAGGTTATAAAGAATGCAGGAAACGCGATGGATGGGGATCGATATCAATCTTGGGCACGAGGCGGCACGCAGGGGAATCGCAATGAATATCAGAGCAGCGCTAGGAAACAGCGCTTCAAATCTTTTAGTACATTCAGATTATCTTGAAAGCATGGCTGAGTTTCAGGAATTGTTGTATTGCTGTCTACGTTGAGAAGGGAATGGCGAAGCAAGCTCCGCAGCAGAAGCTCTCTGCAAACCATCTGGTCATCTACAGAGAAGACCTGATGCGCAGAAGGGCAACTTTGCTTACTGTTATGAGCTTGATCAAGCAGAAGGTGTTGTCATGATGATCCTCACCAGCTTCATCATTGAAATAGGAAGAATCAGAAAGACCCACGAGACTTCATGGACAAAGCAGAACTAGGAAGATCAACAACGGTCGAGTCATGAAGATGTGGACACGAGCAGAAATAGTTTGCGGGTCGACGGCATGCTCGTGTTCGCCATGTTCCTCGGCACTACTGGCACATAGGACTTGATGCAAAGGTCACCAATGTCCAGCGCAACACCTTGTAGGGTTAGGGGTTACATTGTTCAGGGCTTGGGGTGGCATTGTTAGACCTTTTCGTCAATGCCCGCCGCTGGTCAGCAAACATGAGTGTCTGCAAGACGAGAAGCCCCAATCCACGAGACGAGACGCGAGAAGAGGGCAAAGAGACACACCAGAAGACGAGAAACGGGGACACCCAGGCCCCAAGACAAGACGAGATAGACGAGCAATGGAGACCCAATGATGCTGATGATGCTGGGGACACGGGGCCAGCATCATGAGCAACATTGGCGCAGCTCGAGACGTAAAATGTGGACGCCCAAGCCCCAAGACAAGAAAAGGCGAGAAACGGAGAGCCAACCGCGTAGCGCGAGCGTCAGGAGAACTGGCGTGCAGCAACATGCCATAAACTTGCGCAAGGCCAGCGAAGAAACCCCAGCTGATGCTCATGATGCTTTGTCGGGGGGTTCGGAGACGTCTGACGTAAGAACACTGTAGATACCGAGAAGACACGCCTGCAACGCTGCGAGCAGTGCTGAAGCCGAAGGCTGCCCCGATACCGCGCGATGCACGTGGTCATGCTGAACCGGAGCCCGGAATTCTGCAATTTCGGGGCCCAGGTCCACCACCCTCCCGCCTCCAATTTTTGGGCCTGCGACTGACAACACCAAGACGCTCAAAGGGTGTTTTCCGTCATCCAATAATGTGCTTTGTAGCAGTAGTCCAATTTCAAGCTTCAGATATGAGGCGGCACAACAGAGAAGGCACATTTTACACCTTTGCCGCAACAAGCATGTTGGAAACAGCCCACCCGCATGTAGAACTCACACCTGCCAAGCCATTTTGCAGGACCTCGGCGACGGGACATACGATGGCAGGCGCATGGCCTACCAGCAAGACCAGGAGTGCTGGCATGCTACGCTCAACCGTCTTGGGGTAGGAAGCATTGCTTGCGTTCCAAATTTTAAGGGAAGCAGGCTTGGTAAGGCCTTGGTTGGATCTGCCAGTTGAAAGTCATGTCACAGTCAGCGCGGATAGATGCAATTTCTTGTCCAAGCTTCTGTATTGGCTAAGTTTGCAAGCTGCTTCCTGCAACGGTACTTTCAGAAGTGTGTGCAGCGGAAGGACTATAGCTGATGACTTCCTGATGGCCGGCTTTCTGCAGGACCTTCCTGTTTGCTTAAAGCCCAAGATGTTATCAATTCTGCAAGCTCTCTGCTTTCTCTGCTGCAATATGCTGGTGGGCTTCTAGCTTGCTGAGCGGCGGTTAGGGCTGTTACAGCAGGCATCTGATGGAGAAGTCGCAATTGGCTAGCGCATCCCGCAACACTAGGACCTTGGCAGAAGGACTTCCCCAAACAAGACGTCTGATCACTCTCAAGCACTCTGGTTCTCGTCCGAATGTGAGGATTCCGAGGACTCAGCAGACGAGGGAATCCGCAGCGTTGCATCGTACTCGTGGGATACGATGCAGGTGACGGATGATCTTCCAAAAGGCCGGGTAGTCCAAGCAAACACAGATTTTCTCCAAGGTTTGTGGCTGTGGCATTTTTGTACCTCTGAAGAATTAACATATGGGGAATTTTCACTAATATGCCAGTATTCGCAATAGTGTTACCATAGCATTCATCAAAGGGGTGGCAATAATATATTGTTGCCGAGCCAGAAAAATCCCGGACAATCAAAATTGCTTTCGAGCAAGTTCGGAGCCCGAAAAGGTCTAAACCAGGTCGGCAAGAATAAGGGGCTGGCAATAATAATATTGTCTGGCCGAAAAAGGTCCCGATTTCAATGGATTCCCTTCTACTTGTCCTATTAGTATTACGAGCCGCACTACCTGGTCCTACCCCAACCCCTTGGTCCATTATTGCGAGCCCCGCTCACCCCATCCGTAAACCAAAAACACAAAACAGGTTCTGGGGTGGTGGGGGGGAGGGGGTTTATTCTTGGCGTGGTAACATTTGGGTCGAGCTCAGACGCATCTAACGAGACCGTGTCAAAAAGCAAAAGAGGCCAAACTTGCTTCTAACAGAAGTCAGGTGATGACGAAATGATTGTGATAATTGTAAGGAGGCTTGGACTGAGATAATGTTGGTGACTGGTAGCATGCTAAGCCTGAAAAAGAACAAAGGCAGAGTAGCAACAAAAGAACAGGCATGCAACCGAAGCAGTGCTGTATGCCAGCAAAACAGTACAGTGCACCCTGAGGCCATCCTCTTCCTCCTGGTCGACGCTTGCACGAGAGACCTGGCACAAGATGGGCTTGTGGGAAGTGGGTGCTGACAGGATTGGCTGGCTTCTTCCAGTGCCAACCCTTATTCATGTATACCACCTGGCAAAGGCTCTCCCGAGTCGACTATAAGACCCTTGAATCTACAGAGCAGGGGCTCATCAATACTTGCGCCAGAATTGAAAAGAAGCACAAAGCGTGACTTGCACCACATGGACAGACATGGGTCTTCATCAACATTTTCGGGCGATGTTGTGGCCCCTCAGCTGGGCGGGGTTCGCTAAACCCTTGTTGCATGGGCTTTGCTTCTATGAGCCGCTGCAACCTAGCAATGGTTCTACTCCAGGGACCCTCGGGGGAGCTGGAGCTTGTAGGTGGACGATGCGAGCCCCTGTCGGGATTACGAAGATACTGTCTCTGAGAACCTATAGCATAGGGCTATGCGGTGACTGGTCTTTTTTCCATGAATGCTCAGCTCAGGAGGCATCTGCGCAAGATAGAGAAGTTTCTTGACGCAATTGAGCTGGACCCGAAGACCCTTACGGAGAAGGTCTCAAAAAAAAGATCCAGCCTGGACCTGTTGAATCGGATAGATTTGGCCAATGAGCTGGGATTCTCTCCTATCGGCCAGCGGCTTTGGGGTTAGCACCTTGTTTGATCGTTATGGGTTGCAGAATGCTGCGTGCAGTCAAGATGCGTCTATTTTCCACTGCACGTAGTCAACAGGAAACGGGGCACCTGATTGTATTACAACAGATGGTGCCGCCAACCGCCTCTGTCAATCGGCAGCCCATGCGAGACCCTTTTCAGATCATGGCTTCAGTTTGGCTACTCAGTGTAGCATGAAAACCTCCATGGTTTCAAAGTGCAGGAGCGCTTTACAGAGAGCTGTCATCCAGCCTCTGCTTTTCCCGGATGGTCTCATGCTGCAACCCAATTTGTTCTGCTAAAAAGTTCTTCACAAAAGCATTGGGAGGTTCAAGCCTTCATCCTGCTTTTTTGCAGCTTGCATTTATGCTCACCTGGCATGGCTTTGCTGAGCATGACCATTCCGATCTGCCACCTTGCATGCAAAGGCTTTGCAGAAAGCTTTGTATAGAAGGATGACGTTTGTTTCAGCAGCCTAGCTCGGGCTAGAGTTGCTAGGAGGCAGCTGAACTTGAAGGAGTTCAGTGTCTCCGTTCATTTGCATGGACAGGCTCCATCCGAGCCCATCCCATACCTGTCTAGACCATGTGGAGTGTGTGCCAAAATTTTGGTCCTTGCAATGGAGATTGAAGTGCAGAACTACAGATTGGGGGAAATGGCGCTTGTTTAGGCTTTGCAAGGTTCACCGCGAAGTACCGCAGCCCCGGCAATGTTTGTGAAGCGTGATTTTCCCAAATCAAGCTCCTGCAGATTCTGCTTAAATCGGGACCTTCTTGCATGCAAATCAGTCTGAGAATCCTCCGAGACGTATGGTAAAATGCACATTTCCCAGAAAGTTACTTGGAGCTCTTAGCAGGTTCAGCGCCTCTCAAATTTCTATGACGTCAAATAAAAAGACGAGAACTTGGCAAGTTCCGCATCTGCCCATAAGGATTGGAATCTTGGCACATACCCGTGTCAGCCGGCAAATAAGGAAGGAAGATGAATGATGTTCATCTCCTGGCCAGCTTGCTGATCAAGAGGGGACTGCATCTCGAACTTCCAGCCGGTACTTGCATCGCAAACACACGGCGGTCAAGGGGCCGTGATACGTGGAGCGTGCTGTCTTTAAAGTGGGGAAGCCCTCACATCTGAGTTCCTGCCCCAAGTGCCTGGAACAGAAAAGTGATCATCTTCGCCTGGAACTCCTATAGCGTTGTTGTTGCAGCTGTGCTATGTGCGCTGCGTTTCTTGCACTTTATCTGTCTGCCATGGTAGACGACAGAAGAAATAACGACAGCAGCAGCAGCAGCAGCAGCAGCAGCAGCAGCCGCAAAAGCAGCGAACTCAGCAACAGCGGCAAAGCAGCGCTGCCAGCAACAGCAGTAACAGAAGTAAAGGCAGGAATAGCAGCAAGTGCTGCAATGGCTGCAGGCGGCAGCGACGGCACCAGCAGCACTTGTTGCTGCTGCTGTTGCCTGTTTTGGTGCGGCATCTAGTGGTGGTGGTAGTGGTGGCGGTGGTGGTGCTGCTGCTCCTCACGCCTGCGATAAGACCGTTGCTAGTCGTGGAACTAGAACAACTGAGAGCAGGCGATGCTCCAGCATCCTCAGCAGATCTTTGGGGCCTCGAGGGCAGCGGTGTACCCTGGCTAACTGCGGTGATGGACTTCGGCCTTCAGATTTTCGGGTCAACGTTTCAGTGTTTGGCATCAATGCTTTGAGTTTCTGGATGAATGGTTGAATGGGGACTATGCCAGAGTTTCTGAACACAACTGAGACATTATCCCTTCGAGGGAACCCAAGCACCTAGAGGACATCTTAGTGTTAGTAACCGCCCTTGAACGCCCAACCCGAGGAGGAGATTTACGAGCTTGATGGCAAGCTCCGCTGCCCGGCCTCATTTTTGTAGGGGTACGGTATGTAGGTAGGGGTAGGAATATGTAGGGTTTCAGGCTTTTTGCCCCAGCAAGCTCCGCTTAATCTAATAGACTTGGTTCCATGTCACCGTGGACAGGATGAGATAGAAAGGAGCCTTGATGAATGTTGAGGGGCATCATGCTGGGCTTAACCCATAGAAGCACTTCGCAAGGGCGTGGGAGAGACATGTAGACACCCTGGTTGAGCTTGGTAGAGCAAGCGTGGTCATCAATCCCAAGTTCAGTTCATCTACCGTGGGTTTGTCAATCATCTCATCGGGAACATTGCGTAAGCAACTCAGTGTGCTGATTGTCCCGAAGCGTGGATCACTCCAGAATCCGAAGCCAGCCACTGACCACATTGGGTTGAAGCGGCCATATCTCAGCAAGATTAGCCACTTTTCCGACAAATTTCATTCCTCCTGCATCTTTTTGTCTTCGTTGTTTCTCATGGAATTCATGTTCAGATGCTTCCATTGATCGGCACAATATGCTGAACGCCTGGTCCGACAGCTTTGAGAACCCTGAGGTGAGAACTGCACCTTAGGTCCTCCGCCTATTCAATACCGCACTACAATCGGTATTCTCATGATACCACAACTAGTGGATGACAAATCTGAAGCACTGCAAACGTGGTATTAGGATACCTTGAGCCGAGGAACATTGATTTCCTGTTTAAGCTACTATCCTTCAACAAAATGGCACGCCTTGTTTTCACGCTATGCAGTGTAAAGACATTGCACACTGGAGGATGATTCTTTAGCGGGTTCTGGCCTCCCTAAGCCCCACAGACTCCTCATGAGCCCATACAAGCCAAAGATGTCTTTCGATAGCTTTGTACAACAATCGGGCTCAACGTGGCATAGCAAGGCACTGACCCAGCATCTCAACGACACCTGCAGTTGATCAAGCAGGTGATGCACTACTGGCAGCCACTGGTCTTTCAGTCAGGAGGATGAAGGTAAGGGACAGGTGGGGCACACAAGCGGAAAGCAGTGGAAGCAGTGGAAGCAGTGGAGGTGGCCATTGTTTTGTGGGGGGTGTTCGGGAAAGGCCTGATAGGACCCTTGCTCTCCTAAGGTCATATGATGGCTTCGCACGCGTGGCCATGAGCATGGGCACCAATCAGTTGATCCTGGGCCTCTCATACTATGCTATTTGGCTCAAACATGGGCATTCGGCAAGACTTTGGGTCCCATTGTGATGGCCCGATGCTACCAGGATGCCGTCATTTCGGGGCACGTATATGCACACTGGATGCTTTCCTCTTCTGCAAAATACGCACATGTTTACAGGACCATCTGCTGCCACGCAAATGATAGCTGACCACCTCACGGTCAGCCTGCAACTTGCGGACTGTGACCTTGTGACATGGTGAGTTTTTCTGAAGGTGATTGGCTATGTGCTGATCTCTAACAAGGCAGGGCATGCAGGGCTTGCAAGCCTCAGTCATATGCCTCATGTAAGGAACTCTGCTTCTCCAGCAGTGACCCTTGCAGGCCATTATTGCCTGCTGGCTGGTTGTCCTCCTCTTCATGGTCATCGCCACAGCGTTTCTGGGCCGTCTCATTCCAACATGATCCCCATAAAATCCAGACAAGCACTGCTGTTTGGAAGCCTTTGCCTTGCTGCAACAAGCAGTCTCCAGGCTGATTCGCTTGGACATGTCCCTGACCGGCTTTGAGTTCCGGGCAGCAATGGCCCCTTGTCGGGCTACAGGAAGTGATGCAGCGGAGGAATGTGCAGACATTACTAGTATGCAGGAGTATGAATAACATTCTTGCACACTCTAAATTGAAAGTAGCAAGCTATATTGTACACGGCATCAAATGTTACATGGTTGCAATATACCATTTTCAGCTACATAAACACAGGGCAAGTATCATATATACTGTACTACTGGGACTTATAAAGTCAGAGCGCCCTGGTGGGGTTTCCCAGAGCGAGTACTTAGGCGTCTCCGAAAACGAGACGGAACTCTGTCACTTTTTTGGGGTCTAGGGTGTAGGGTTGCTGGTCAGAGAAAAGAACCGACACTTAAAGAAGTTGACGAATGGACACATGTCCTGTAAAGGGGGGCGGAAGCTGTGTATTCACATGTGTATTTCCAAAACGGAGGAGCCCCACTTTCTTAACCAAATCTAAGAGATCCTATAAGGACCCCAAATTTTGGAAACACTCAACTACTGGCTAGTTAGTACCCGGTCTTCAGCCTAAATCAGAAGGGCTGTTTCCATTAAACCCTAAACCACCCAAATCCAAAGCCCAAAACCCTCAAACCCTAAACCCCCTGAACCCTGGAACCCCCTATTTGACTTCAGGTCCTGGTTTTTGCCGGGCCAACTCTGACAGCCCTGGCAGCCCAGCAGTGGCGGCTACACACAGCAGCTCTGATTCCAAGATGAAGAATCATGGTACTAAGTGCAAGAGTCATATCAATATGGAGAAACCAGGAAAGTAGGAGCCTCGAACAGAAGAAGGCGAGTGGCTTGTGGGTTCGGGTCAGGAAGTTCGCGGACCTGCAGCTTCACGAGGATGTCTCCCAAGTTTCGACTGGAGAGAATTTCTTGAAATCAGGGTCCATCTTCTCCAAGCGCTTGCTTGCTGACTCCGAAGTGAATTTGTGAATTTGGAGAAAGCTGAAAAGGCTTCTGATTCTACTGCAAGCTGCTTTCCTGCTTCAAGATCCTAGGACCCCGCCAAAAACAAGGTCCCTCAACTCCCTGCCTTTACCGTGTTGAGGACTTGTCGGGAGTGGATCTCTCAGCAGCAAAGAATACCTACGCATGTTTTTGTGTACGTTTGTGTATATAGAAACGTGCGAGGTTTTTTCTGCTGCACATCTAGTCTTCTCACATGTTACTACATGTTTTATATGGTAATTTCCCCTTATACACACGATGTCCGCACCTGGTTCAAGGTGAAAGGCTACGAGATGGTGCACCTCCTTGCGCCTCTGCCTTACGCAGCGGAGGCTGCCTGGCTGATGCTCCTGCTCTACATTAGCAAGGCAGGGAAGGGTTTAGATTCAGGCGGGTCATATGAGGTATTCTGGTGGTTAGAGAGGGGTTATCATGAAGGCTCCCTCCTTGGATTTTTTTTGTCACCTCCAGCCTGGCCATAGCGACAGAATTTGTGAAACAGGTAGGGGGGAGCCTCCTCGTGCACGACCTGTGAACCCCTCGATTCCCATTAGGATGTGTTGTGGCATGTCAAGTTTGTCATGCCATTCGGCTTCAGTGTTTACGCTTCAGTTGCCTTGTCACTGAAGACGTTTGGAGTCCGAGATTCCTGGAAGTACGTTAAAGTTTTAATTTTTGATGGGCAAGACTACTTACGAAAATGGCTCAGTAGCGTGATAATTGCAATGAATTTGAGGGTTGTTGTCGGGGAGTGGGGGGGGGGGCGGTGTTATGCTAAACACCCAGAAGGGACCGAACGAGGCATTTCCTAGATGTCAATTGAAAGTATTCGTTTCATCAGGTTATATTGCGGACATGATAGAAAACAGTTAGGAGGAAATTGAATTAGAAGTAAAGATTACTTTGATTTTTCAAGCTTGCTCGCTGTCCAGGTTTCTATACAGGAACGTGAGTAAAAGAGTTGAAACAAAATCCAACAGGAATTCATGACTTCCTGAGTTTCCCAATTTTTCTCCTCGGGTTTCTTGATAGAAAGTGATTGCTGTACTTACTCAAGGGTAAACAGGCCGCCTTGTAAGTCTTCCAACCAAACTTTTGCTGTGTAATACACATTGTTGCGGCTGATGCTCATTTCTTTTGGGGGAGAGGGGAGGGATGCGTTTGATTGTGTGAGGGAAGTGATTATACAGCTGTGGAGCCAGCTCAGCGACCTGTGCCACATGTGTCCACCATACATACATATTGCACTAGCCGTCGCCCTGACTGCTCTCAGGTGTGGGGAATATTTAAACGCCGGGAGGAAATCGGGGGTAGGGTCCCCAGGGTTCCTGGCTTGCTTCCTGAGGCTTAGTATACCTACCCAGGAGCAAGCAAGCTGAATGGGATTGCGTACATGCGGAGATTGCAAACGGTTGGTGAAGTCCCTCTTGATGAATTTCTGCTTTGGCAGGTGCAGGAGCAGGAGGGTGGAGCCACACTTCCAACTGGCTTCCGATCTGTGATGTAGCTGGGCTGACCCAGAACCCTAAACCTTAAACCCGAAACCCATTGCGTGAAAGGAGCCAGGCTTTCGGGGATCCAGAGCAAGTGAGCTCAGGGAGTGCTCTGAGTTCCCAATGCTTGTGTTCTATGCCCCAGTAATGCTAGGACTCATTGGCAGAAGATTTTGGATGAATCTCGGGTTTCTTATAGGACATGTAGGCCCAAGAAGACATAGCAGACCATCTTTTCCCTCTTCCAGAAAAGTCTTTTTCTCTAGGCCGTTCAGGTTCCGAGATGGAGGTTGTAGGATAAGGGAAGTGTTGATGCTTGCACGAGCTTTAGCGCTGCTAGCTCAATAATTATCCCCTTTTGATATTGATGACAACTTTCTTGTACGTGTGTTTCTGAAAGTGTTGGATCCCTTATGATGATCCTTGTGACATGAATCCCAACGTAGTGGCATGCATAGACGAGCAGCGCGCAGATTTTTTTCAGGGCTTTGGAGTGCGATTCATTTTGAAAAGCATTCAGTTCTTAGGCTGCTACATTTTAGGAGCAAATGCTTTGGCCTCCCGTCATGTTGTGTAGTAGCCGCCTATTAAGAATTGCGTGCGAGAATACTGGTTTGGCCGATACCCGAAAGACCGTGTTTTTCGTATAATAGTGTCTGAAGCTGCTGCCGGTCGAGACCTGGAAGCCTGATGCTTGAGGCCCCAGCGCATGCAGCCCTGAAACGAAGAACTCAGCCAAAACTTTAGATCAAGGCCAGAAACTTATGAAAAGCAGTAGTCCCAACTGCAGGGCTAAAAACGTAAACGGAGGCCTGACATCCTTCAGAATGCAAACCACGAGATGCTTGAAGCATCAATGAACCCCAGACCTTTAACTGAGGTACATTGATGTCTTTGGCTGGATTAAGCGCGCTCGTGCTCAGAAGCAGGCCGAGGACAGACCGAATCGGACAACTTCTGCAAGCTAAAGAAAATTGGAGGTTCCTCAATTCACTTCTTCCAAAACTCTTATGGTTTGATCGCTGGCCGAATCTCAAGCCTACATCATGTGCTATCTGTTAAAAAGCTAGCCCAAGAGTGGCCATGCTCAGAGCATTTTTCCTTTCAAGATCTTACAAACGCCAAGAGTTCCCCAAATAAAGAAAAAATTGGTCCCCAACAGCCAGACTGCTAGATCCTTGAGATGCCCCCAGATCGAGGAGCCTCTGTCGCCCAAAGAGACTCACCGGCTGCCGTCCCCCGCAGAGGCTGCAGTGTCCAGGCTGTGTTCGTGTGCCTCTCAAAATGAAGGTACCCTTGGTTGTCCAAACCTGAGGTCCCTTCGCCAACAAGAACAACATGGAGAGCAATCATGAAAATGACAGCTCATGAGCTATAGTCTAAACTCCTTAAAGGGGATTATATAGAGGATTATGTAGGGGAGTATTTTCGGGTTTACTAAGGGGCATACTAGGAGTTTAGACTATACCTCACAAGATAACAATGACAGCGATGCTGCACAGGGAAGTTAAAATAGCTAGGGTCCAGGCAACGCTTGTGTTTTTTTGATGCAGCTGCTAGGATGTCTGGAAGACCAAGAAGCATGGAAGCAGGAACAACAGCACTCAACGGCAAGCCCTTGTTCTTCAGCACAAGAAGTTTCAAGACACAACTGCAAAATCCATGCTCGTGAGTCCTAGTCGTCGTGAGTCCAGAAGTGCGCCCTACAGGCAGCTTAGTAGCCCAAAGAACCGGAAGAAGAGCAATCAGGACTGTAGTGTGTATTCGAGATGAAGTGTTGCAGGAGAGTGTAGCGATAACAGTGTCAATGCTTTGATTCCAGCAATCACGACAACGGCATCATGACATTAGCAAATTACACAGCAACTGTGACCCGGTACGAATGGCCGTGATCATGAGACAGGCAAAGGCTCTCATAGCTGAAGAGAGAGCAACCGAAGTATTCGTATTTGCATAAAAACAATGGAGAGAAGCACAATGGTCATAACACGGCATGCTGAAGAAGAAGCAGAGTCGCAGCACCTGAATGAAGAACAACAGCGAGAGCAACGGTAGTTGCCAGCGTCTGTTTAGTCAGACTTGTGTGAACATGTGAAGAGCCATTGTCTTGTTGATAGTAGCACGGCCCATGTCGAAGTGTCCCAAGCCCCACCGAAAGACCTGAAACACCCAAACCCTATCCCACGATTCCACTATGAACTCGCAGGCATTTGCGGTCAAGGTAGCCTTATGAAAATTTCACACCCCCTTCCCCCCAACCTAAGCCCAAGCCCTAACCCTTAAAACCAAGGTGCCGCAGCCAGGAAGGGGACCAGCCCTGGAGGCGGTTCACTACGATGGCCGGATCCTCAAAGGCGCGGATTAGATGACCCTTCCAGGTACATCTTTGAATGTGGGAGTTTAGTACGATCGGAGTATGCAGTCCATGTCAAGTTGAGATATGTCAAGTTGAGATATATGGGAACATGTAGGAGCTTATGGGAGATGGGATGTTCCTTCCTACGGCAGCTTGTGGGAGCATACAGCCGCCATTACCAGGCTCTTCAAATGATTTTAAATCTGTATGCACTTGGTTTGCCCTTCAGCTCTGGCAGACAGATGGGGAGTTTTCCAGTTGAGGGGGGGGTGATTCTTTAGGAGACTGACAGATGTGCTGGCATGCTGCTTTTGCTGTGCTCATTTGCTTCTTCTGCTGCTTCTGCTTGTATTTACTATTTGTTGTCATGGTTTTAAACGTCATCGACACCTGGCAACTTCATCCTCACGCCTCTGCTTCAGAACTGACATGCTTTTGCCCGCTTGAACATCGTGTCTTCAAAGATGGGTTGTTTTCGCTGAGCTGCGCATCCAGGAGAAAAACTTCAACCTTCAACCGAGGCCTTCACTATGAGGTTTGAACGGAGTCTGCCAGGTCCCCCCAAATGAGGGTCACTTTCTTGAGCCCTCGATCTTGATGCTCTGATGGCTTTAATTGTTCATGTCTAATCCCAAGCTAGTCCCCTGCATAAGTTTCATACAATCGCTAAATAGACAATGTGCAATCGTATGAATGCTCCCCGCGTCCTCCTTTTCCATTTTGAGAGCGGCAAATCTGAGATATGCAAATGCACGTTTAAACTTGATGAGCTCGAAGGCTCGGTGGAGCTTAAAGCCCAAGCCCCAGACCTTCAACCTCCCAATCCTCTAGGGCTGAACTCCAAGCCCCTCCCTCATTTCAGGAAGCAGCGCATCCCACAAACAAAGCCCCTTTCTGGTCTCACGAACCTCCTGCATCAATTCTTGCCGATCATCGCCTGTTTCAGCTTGCAAAAGGAAAGGGGAACCTGATGTGAATGGGACATCAAGCACTTGGCATTAAGACGTCCCAGCATGGAAACGCGGCAGGCGCATGTCAACTCCTAATCTGGATGACAAAATTGCCGCAAACAAGTGTGTCCTGACTGTTGTACAAACCCAAATGACTTCATGTGATTACCCTAAACATGCTATGCGGTGACACTGTGCCTGAGCATAATTTGCACAAAGCCATCCCCCAATGGACAAACGAAGCCCCTTTCCGAATTGCAGGCCCCGCCCCACGGCGGCCAGAGACACTGCCAGGCCTGCGCTTCCCACAAAATGGGCATCCGTGGGTTGGCCTTTGGGATATTTACGGTTTTGAGGGTTGGGGTTCAATGTTTTTTGGGGTTTCTGAGCGGGGAGTGTAGGAGTTTCAGGATGCAGGTTTCAAGGTCGAGGGATGTGACCTTCCAGGTTAAGAAAGGCCTTTGCGGGCGCCTACAAAAGTGTCCGATCCCAGCCCAACAATCCTCATCAAAACCCTGGCTTTGTTCAACAACCTGTATCCCTAGAAATCCGCCCCAGGACTCCTCAGCTCCAACTCCCAAGCTCGAAATCTGCAAAATCTTTTCTTCTCGACACGCCCCATGGCTCCTAGAATATTCTCCCAACATCTCCTTTTTTGAATTTTGTCTTCTGGTCTGATCACCCAGAAGCCAAGTGCTCAACAGAGTGCATTTCTCCAGAGAAACATGAGCTTGAATACGCGGTCCCTTTAACATTGGATTCATTTGAGGTTCGCGTGAGCGACTGCAATTGATTTAGGGAATGGATGGCCGGTCCGGGATATTGATTCAAATTCTGGGATCCTTTTTCAGGACGTTCTAATGGGGACGACGTTTTGGAGTATACTCTTGAGATCTATGCCGCAGGTGCTGCAAAGCCCCCTCCAGAGACGTTGGCTACAAAAGTGGCCTGGCTAGCGGATGCAGCGCAGGTGTGAACCATCACAAATTAGACATAATTCGGTTCTTCAATGCTATAGCAGAGCCGTCACCAGACAGCAGCGGTTTGCGCATGATTTCCTTGAGATGGGTCTTGAGGAATTGAGCGTCTGATGCACCCTACTCCCTCCGACGTCCGTCTATTGCACTCACGTTTACGCTACACATGCTTCCAAGGAGATGTTCGACCCGACCACGTTTGTTCCGCGTGAGAAGGACACCCCAACATGCCACGGCTTATCCACCATGCCAGCACTGACGTGAACAGCTTTACCATGGGAGCTGTCACAAGTGTCTTCCTAGTGCTACTCTATGTGGTAGACAGCTCGGTCCACGTTGGAGGCGTGATGCAATGAATGTCATCTTGCAGGACGGACAGCATGCGAATCACGCAGAGGACTGCTGCCTAAGCAGGCTGTTTAGCTTGTAATACTTCGTACATCGGTGAGGCACTTCAAACAGGGAGGCAAATTGCGCTAGTCGCATGCGTTCAGCATACTGCGCGCCCAGGGGCTTTCCACGTCCATGTTCAGGACATCCACCCGTACCTTAAGCCGGGCGTAGTTCCCTGGCGCATCTTCTGCTCGGCGACCACGTTGTGTCCTGGCATGCAAGCTGATTGTCACGTGTGTTCATGATTGTTCGTTTGCCTGTGGCATGGAGCAGCCCTGATGGCCGGCCATGCTCTGGTGATGAGTGTGAGGCTGCTTGTGCTATGGTGGATCTCTGGAGTGCTCATCCTCCTTCAGGCACGGAGCCTCTGCTGCTGCTAGGAAAGGTCAGCAGCAGATTTTCTTGCGATGCAGGCTCAGCCGCGCCTCGCTACTTAAATGCCTTACATTGTTCTCATCAACCAGTGAGGTAAATATGCGTACCGAAAAACCTGCTAAACCTTGATGCGCCTTAAGAGTCTGCATGTCATGAGCTGCTGCTTTCGCAGTTGAAGTGTCCGCACATGTATATGATAGCGTTCCCTGTGAGTCCTCCGGCTGGTCCGCGCTGCGCGTTTCGCCGCTTCTCCATGACACGGAGGCGGAAGGTTCTCTCAATTCTAAATGCAAGCCGGCTTCGCCAGCTGAATCTGGTTGCTCCTTTGCCCCAGAAGGCAACACAATTACGGGCATTGGGTATAGAAGAGTCTCCGAGACTGTTTTTGGAGTGCAGGAGGGTCCAGCACCAATCGAGCAAACCCACACTGCCGCGTTCCTGCGGCTTGGATGCGTGCCATATCCATGCTGGAGTTTCTTTCGTACTGCTTCCCAGGTCAAGAGACTGCAGTTGGTTCTCTGAGTGGAGATTTCAACTTGCTGCAGAAGTTCTGAAGGCAAATGGGTATTCGATGCAATTCCATCCTATAACGCCTGGAGAGTATGAATTGCTGGCAGCGTGCAAGCTCAAGGAAAGTGATGTTCTGAGGCTAGAGGAGGCCGCTATTCAGCCGCATCCTGTGGCGGAGTCTTTGCATGGAGATGCCCGGCAAAGATGTTTTCTACAATGCTGTGATCTTCGGGGGTTCGTCGCATGAAGCCTTGCCAGCTAAGGAGCACATTGCCACCTTCTGGCCTCCAGGGGCCTCCCCCAGGCGGAGCTCACTTCCTTGAGACCGTATGACTATCTTGACTACTGGAGAGTCCTTGTTTTGAGGACTGCGGTTGCCAGCTGATTTTCCTACGCAAAACCAAGCCCCAGCCACCTGAAGCATTCTGCTTGGAGGCATCTGTCGTGTGCTTCGGCAGATGGGGCCGTGCGCTTTGCTGCCAGCAGCCGCTTTGGCCTCTTCGAGGCCTCCGGCAGTTGTTGCACTCCTGCAAGGTAAGCCAGTCAAGGATGCCTCTGGGACAGAGGGAGCTAGCTTAGTGCTTGTGAAACATGAGTAGTTATACGTATCCTTGCGTTCAAAACCGAAGAGCCAAGTAAGGGAGCATGGGAAGCTTGAAAGGACTGCAACTAATGACAAATGCATTGGAATCGTAAGGCCACACTGAACACCGGCCTGCACCTTGGCTGCATTCGGTGGAACCTGCTTGACAGGCATTTAGTATTCAGCTTGTGAAGGCACACGCCAAAGTTGAGGACCATAGATTACCGAAGTAGCAGGATTGCCAGTATGGGCACCCTCAATTCAAGCCCGGCAAGGAAGAGCAATGCCAGCCGCCCGAGCAACTCCAGTGCCGAATTCCGCTTCGCTCCAGTCTGTGATGACCTCGCATCTCAAGTGGCACAGCAAAGCTTTTTTGTTGTGTTTCTGTTCAGCGTGCAGGGTAAGGCTGACGGTCTTTGATATGGTTGGAGATAGAGGTTCAAAGAGCAGATATCTGTGTATGTTGATATCTCGTCTGTCCGCGGCTTGGCGACAAGCTGTTTCAGGAGCTGGGAAGCCTGCTAGGGCAATCTCCTTAGTGCGCGTTACATCATTAAAGTTGAGCTGCTGTGCCTAACATGCTTTCGAACGCATCTGAAAAGTGTAGGCTCATGTAGACCCTCGCAGAGTTCTCTGAGTGCAATACACGTCTGAGGAAGGCGAGGCTCTGCAGGAGTGAAGGGTGGGGGGAGAAGGAGGCTGCATAAAGAATAATGTAGAACACCGAAGAAACTATTGTCCCGGTATAATTTATATTTCGTGAACGTATACCCCCCACAACTCTGTTATAACAGTTTGGCCGAGGCATTTCGATGTTCGGGGGCCTTGCCTGTTGGGTTTCAGGTCAGCCTGGCCGAGTTCGGAGGCTCATGGTAGTTGTAGGGTGAATTGTGAGTATTTTGGGTTTTTCGGATCAGAGGGTATTATAAAGGGAGTAGAAGGGGATCATGCTTTCAGGCTTATGCAAGGTGCATTTTGGGAAGCTGCACTCGAATGAATTCAGGTCACATATCATTTACATAGTTCTCCCATTGTCTAACCCCACTTAGATGATGGATGGGCCTCCAAGTGTATGTTGCCCCCGTGTTTTAACTCAACGGGACCCCTGAAGGCAAGTACACCCACGGCTTGCTCAAACTGAGAGCTTCCCAAAATGCAGAGTCCCAAACCCGCTCTGGGCTGAACCCAAACAGTCAGGGGCCCACAAATTGCAAAGATGTCTAACATGCCAGCAGCGGATCCCGACAGGATCTTAGCGTGCTGTGCAGCGGCAAGGACTGCCATGCCCAGGCGGCAAATCACAGCAAGGAATATGATGATAATCATGATGAGTGTTGTCGTCATTACCCGTGCGATGGACCATTGCTGTTGTGGTTGCTGTTACTGATGTGCCAATGAATAAGTAAGTTGTTGCTGGGAGACTGCGGGTTTTATTGCAGTTTATTCTTCCCTGAGCTTGAAATCTCCACAGAATGACGTATGCTCCGGGGAAAGCTTTCAGGAAACCTTCGGGCCCCTTCCTCATAAACCACTGATGGAGTTGCATTTCATGACGTGGTGATTTCCGCTGCAGCCGCCACACATGAATTTGCGCGAGAGGCCACAAGAATCGGCCACGAACACAGACATGAAGATTTCCAACCTCTTTGGGGTTCTCCTGAAATGGCGGGCCCCAAGATCGACGCAGACATACTCTAATCTTGGGGACTCCAAACGTGCCCGAATCGTTGGACCCCTCCCCTTGCCCGCTGCGTGACAGGTGCTGCATCGGCAAGGACAGCGCCTTGCCTCCTGCAGCCTGGGCACAGCGACCCATGCTCCAGAGGTCTGAAGCTCATGTGAAGTTGCGCCAAATCATATGTCCCTGTTAAACTGTTAACGCTTCAGAATATGGGGCATGCAGTGTAGGCTTAACGCCCATTAAAGCCTAGTGAGTCCTAAGCCCCTGAACCACCCCGAGAACGCTCAATTCAAAATCCTTATGCCCCAGACTCTGAACAGCCTCTGAACACCAACAGCTTAATGCCCCAAAGCTTGAAGAATTTTCTTCTCCTCTTTGGGAGGCCGTGATGTCGCTAGGCGATACCTGGCTTGGCCAGGGGGACGCGGCCCGAGACGAAGCTCAAGAAGAGGCTCAGTTTAGGGTGATGGAGAATCAAGTGGAAAAGAACATTGAAAATGAAATGGGAGCTACAATTTGGGCTTTTGGGTTAGGTGTGTGGGGATTGTAGGGGCTTGAAGAGGAGGATGAGGGCAGGAGGAAGATCAGGATGATGAAGTAGAGGATGAGGATCAGGAGGAAGTCGAGGACGAGGAGGTGGCGTGGAACAGCGTTGCAAGGTTTAGCAGGGTTCATGAGGCTCACTGTAGCAGTTGTCATGTGTTGCAGAGGGAGCATGTATGGAGTATAGAATCTTAGATGATTTATCTTAGGATTGTGATGATGCGGCCTAAGTGGCCATGTGATGTGTTTTTGTGGAGCGGCTGGGCATCAGGGTTTGTTTGAGCACCTGATAGGGGATCCATACCGACTGGAACAAGGTGAATTGATGCACTATTATCGGCACTTGGAAATCCAAGGACGGTAATGCCCTCAACAAAGGCAGCAATTGGAATAAAGCTCTGTGTATTAGGAACCTTCATAGCTGCCGTTTTGATTTTGTGCACGCTTTCACCCTGAAAGGTCTCGTCCCTGGCTATGATGGATCGTTGTGTCGGCAGCACCAGGGCTGGGACACAGGACACCCATGTTACGGCATCATTTCAATTAGTATTTGTTTTTTTTTATTGAAGGCTTGCCAATAGTGTTGCGGCCTGAGTTTAGTACACCTTTGGTTTGAAGTCTTTCGGCATTTTTGCACGAACAGAACACCTTAGTTTCATGCAAATGCTTGCTACAAGATGTTGCAGACTAGACGGCGTTCTAGGCGCTGTCGGCATAAGGAAGTCTGCGCCGTGGCGATCAGTCTCATGAATAATATCATGCAATCCAGCAGTCCAGACTCCGTGTCTTCTCAAGCAAGGCCTGGCCTATGCCGCCCCATCCTATCAACCATTGCATGCTGTTGCCTGAAGGTAATTCGTCTATAACTTACCTGCGGAATGTAGGCAGATGTTTCGGGCAGTAGACCCATCTCAAAATGAGAGCCTAACCTGAGCTCTGGAACCCTAGCGCTCGCCACTTGAGTGCGCCTGCGTCACACCTGGCCCGAGGTAGTCAGCGTTGTGCCTACGCAGAGACAACGGGCGGGCGACTCGTAGAGCTCAAGTCTGGGCTGGCGCAAGGCACGGGCCTTTGCTGTTCCTCTTGTGAGTCCCTAGCCGGGATTACACCAGACTCGACCCCGACATTGGGAAACTACCATCTGCTTTTCACGCGGCATGGGTGTTGCGGGGTGCTGTGTGGTGTTATGGAGTATTCTGGAGTGTTGTGGAGTGTTGTGGGGTGGTGCCATTTGAGGTGGGGTGGGTGATGAAGAGTGAAGTCTGCCATGGGCGCTTGCTATGGACTCTTCTGATTACGCGCTTTTGGTCGGACGGCTGGGGTAGGGGCATTGCCTCTTTGAGAAGTACCGCAAAAGTTTTGAAAGTGATTTTCATGTACGTCTTCTGAAAGAAGGGCGTAGTCTCAGTCGGCTGTACAAAAAATAGAACATCTGAGAACCATTGCAAGCAGAACCTCTGTGATGCCAGGCAGCACCAGCAGTGTTGTGGTACAATTCTTGTTTGGAGTTGCTGTGGTGAGATGGTGTCGTGGTTGTTTCCGCCATCCTACACACGCTTCACGCATTCTCCCTGCGCTAAACCGAGAACACAACCATGCACCCCACGCCTCCCACCCTAAACTGGGATCCACAAAACCTGAACACGATGCCGAAGCCCTAAACCCCACCCTACATCTTGAACCCTCATCCCCAAACCCAAAAGCGTGCTTGAAGGTGATGTTTTCCTTTCAGGGAAGCGTTGGAAGACTTGTCGAACTTTCCGGCAATTCGAGCGACCTTGCCGTTTCAGGCATTCCGAAAGGAAAAAGGCCGATAAAAAAGTGCCAAAGCCAGGCTCCCTATACCCAAACATCTACACCCCAAACCAGAAATCCTGAGTGAAAGGCTCCGCAGACTGGCTGCCAACCCGGGTGCTTCTGGCAGATGTGGGCCGTGCGGCCATGCGCAAAGGAGCGAAAGAGCTACAGGGAAGCGCAGGGCCTGTAGGGATACAATAGTGATATAATTGCATCTTAGAACATGTTTCGGGACACAGGAAGACCTTGAGGGAGGGAGGGAGATTCTTGGGGTTTCTGCGGTTGCCATGGGGATTTGTAAGGACACAGACAGACGGACAGATAAAGAGTCATTATGGTTTTGCTAAGACGTTATGGGCCAATGAAATTGCTTAAGCTCTATGCTTTTCTCGGGCAAGGAGGGCAGTGCGTTTAGCTGAGGTTCCTTTTTTCAGAAATTCCCCACGTTGTGTATCATGGTGCTTAGCCCTTTGCTGAGTGCAATTGCCTGCAGGCGCTGCCCTGCACACACTTGGAGACCGCTACCTGGCGATGCATCTTGGCTGACATGGCGTGGTCACACTGGCATGCCAGGAGCCTCCTTAGAAATGACCTCTGCAGGCATTCATTGCAAAGTGCGACACCGACAGTTTCTCCATGTGTCAGAATTGGATCTCTTAACTAGCTTCATTCTGATCCTCGAAGCATGCACCCGCAACTTTGAGAGAATCCGACAACAGCCCCGCTAAGGTTAAGCCTAGTAGGGTACGTAGCTGCATCAGGACTGAGGTTCTGCTATTGAGTCTCAGAAGACCTCCGAGAAGCCGATACTAAGGCTATTAGGAACAAGCTACGTGCCCCGCGCCCCTCGTTTCCGAATCCCCTAAACCCTAAATCCTAAACCTTACACCGTAAACCCTGAATCCGAGAGCCAGCAGGCTGGTGACTGGCGGGCAGGAGCTGCGAATCTTCGACCTCCGTCAGTCAGGCACGGACTGGCTGGGAGTGACTTACGTACCAGTGCTTCAAAAGTACCTTGGTACTCCTTAGGTCTATAGTAATAATAGTAATAGGAATAGTAAGAGTAAGAGTAATAGTAATAATGAGCAGCCTGAGCCGCTTTGCTTGGTTTTGCCTTGCGTATGACCTCCTGAAACCTTGTGGGTCGCATTCTGGGCGCTTGATCCTGAGGCCCAGACGAATGCTGCGAGGAATCTGCGAAATGTCTTTGTAGCCGCAATCGAAAAAATCCTGATCATTCACGTAGCTATCCTGTGAATTCCAATATCAGACAGTGCACGTAGGATGCGGATCCTGCTATCATCTGGGAGAGAGGCCATTCGAACTCTTTTACCATCCAACATTCCCAAGAGTATCTCCATTGTAAGAATCCCTCAATCCTTGCCTGTGCGAGGTAAGCTGCTTCAGCGCTACCCTCTGCCAGCACAGAAGCAGTGGCGTTCCATGTGCAGTGCGGGCAGCAACCTCTTCCTCCTTTCAGAGGCGTCCGCTCCACGCAAAGTCTTAGAGAACGATTCAGAGACATTGCGTTCATTCTGTGCACAGCTATGGTACCATGGTATGCTGGCCTCAAACGAGCCCTACCGAGGGTGTTGTCATTAGCTCATTCTTTGCACCGCGTCCGCATGTCGCGTTCTTACCATTAGTCTTGTGTCTCTTGCAATTTGACTTGTGCTACTGAAGATTGTCTTAGTGGTGTTGGTGCTGCCGCCTGCTTCTTGATCTTTGCATTTTGTGCAATCTTGGGTGATTCTAATCCTCACGAGCGCTCGGAGGACCCAGCAGAGGCGGCGCAGATCTTCCGCTTCCCACTTCCGCAGTCGCTGCTGCCCCCCGCACAGATGAAGCCGAAAGTTCTGCAGGAGAAGGCCACATCGTAGACCTCAGACAAGCGCCTGGATCTTGCAACTACACAGGCAAAAGGAAAAACCTTGAAAAAGCTGGGACGCTGAACATTTTCTGCGGGATCCTGCTCGCAATTCACAATAGCACAGCCTGTAGCAACTCAACGCTAAACAGGTCGATGAGAAGCAGAACTGGCTGAAGGATGGTGCAAAGTAATCGTGATAATAATTTCTTTCCCAGCAAGAAAACTCTTAGCCGTGCAAGAAGCAGGCATGAAGTAGGTTAACATCAACGAGCTGGTACGTTCATGGCTGCAGAGATCGGACTTGCAGCAATTGCTCTAGACTTCCATGACTACTGTCGGCTTTCTAGTGGCCGTGGCAGGCAGTATAGCATTGCAACAAGCATGCGAAGGACGGCTTGTTCCAACGATTGCTTCGATTTTTGGGATCTCTAGTTTGCGCTTGGTACTTTAATGCGGCAAGCTCAAATGTGTCTTTTCGAGGATTGCATTGATCCTGGACGCCAAGAATGCAAAGGGAATTAGCAGAACTGATGGGTGTGGGGTCCTTTGGCTGTGCAGACCGGAGAATCTCACTCCCTACACCCTATTCCTTTATCCCTGAATGCTACTCCAGAAGCCCTTATCCCTAACCCAGTTCCCTAAACCCTAACCTTAATCTCAACATCCAAAACTGTCGAGCATGTCCCCAGCGGATGGCATGATGGGAGTGTCAAGCAAGAATCCATGGACAACGGCAAGGACGAAAGTGAACAGGGTCAGAGGCATCGTGGTGTAGAGTGGAGACAGCCTTAAGAAGCTCAGAAAGAGGAACGCAGACGTAGAAGTCCGTGGGGTCAAAAAAGCAAATCCCTGAGCCCTTACAGCCCAAATCAATGAATCCTAACGCCCGAAACGTCTAAATCCTAAACTTTAACCCGCAGACTGCTTCGAGGCAGGGGCTGCGCCAACATCTGCTCCGATGACCTTAGCATCGGCCTACACGCAGACGCTGCCCAAGGATGGCGTCCAGCTGCTCTGCCAGTAACGCGAATAGCGGTTGAAAGTTACTGAGAGTGTAAAGTTCGCAACGGTTTCAGGATTTTGGGACTAGGGTCTATAGTTGAAGCAGAAGCCGGCATCTTTGGCAGCAATATGGTCAGTCATGTCTAGTTGCCACCTTCTGAAGATCCTTGGCCCCTTTTTGTGGTGATCCTTCTGCTAGGGGCAGTGTGAGCACGAGGGTGTGAAAAGCTCCCCACTTTGGAGAAACGACTGTATATTGCCAATGCTCTCGCGGAAGAGTCTTAAGTAGGAGCTTCTCAAATTTATCTTCGTATCTAATCCCCGATATGGACCCCATCAGCCTTCTTTGATATTCCATGCATCCCTAGGGCATCCCTAGGGATACCCACCCGTCATCCAACAGTTAGCTGCCAGGAGCCTCACCTCACGGACTCCGCAAATGCCAGTGAGCACAAAGCCCCTTGTGCGAGCACTGGGGTTTTGAAGATGCAGGATTTCGTTTTGTGGTGCTCCGAGCAAGGAATACCGCATTTTGCGGCACATCAGAGGAAACCCCGATTGGTGGAAATGCTCGGATGATTGATCAAATTCATGGATCGGTTATGAAGCTGCATCTCAATAGCGAGGATTTTGGTTTGGATCGGTACTTAAGTAGTCAAAGGAACATATTACAGACTGAGAAGCCAAACCCCCGAGCAGGGGTAAAAGTTACACTGAAAATCGAAATACTACGTGCGCCTTCTCCTTGTTGTCTATCTGTTCTTCTTGTCCTTCCTGTGGCCGTCTGTACCGGGTTCTAGAAGTGCGTTGAACGCGTTTCATTGGTTTGCGCGCGCTTGATTTCAGGATCGCAGAACAAAAAGAAAGGATGAAAACACTTTAGCTACGGAACTTGAACGATGCACACCACAAAACTAGGGAAACATGCTACGAGCACGCTTCTTTTGTCTGCCATTTCATGATCGCATAAAGGCAGGGCAAAGCACGTTAGGTATGCAACTTGGGGGATGCACGTCTAGATAGGTGCCACATTTGTACCGCCTATCTGATGCAGGCCCTCCCGTTGAGCTTTCAAGACATGTTTCCCCCTGATCCCAAAGCAACCTGGGGGCACATTTTATCATGTCCTCGTCCATAATGATGGCTACATCTACCTGCTCAGAGTGTCGCGCGCCAACCGCCTCAAAATGGAAGTCGCGTCCAACTTTAGCAATTCCAACGATATTTGTCTAGAGCCATGCCAGGGAATGTTGGGGTCAGGCAAATGGTTGTCTGTTTGCTGCTCATGATGCCAATGATAGTCTCCATCATACCTACGCTAACATCCAACCTTTCTATCTGCACAGCATTAATCCTGGATTCCAGACCCCTCGAACCCTAGTCCTAAACCTTCAACCCTAAAACCGAAACTGCAAAAACAACACCGAACAGCAAAAGCCTGCATCCCAAAGCGTGTGGCATGCTGTGGTTCCACACCTGGCCTAGGCTGTGCCTTGGTTTGCTGCCAAGCAGGTCTCCTTAGAAAGCCACCAGGCTATGTGACTGCAAGCATAGGTATTTGTGCAGACTCGTGCTTCTTTTTGGTGGGTCGGGTCTGTCGTGTGGGGGGTCGAAGAGGTTCAAGGGATTGGTGAGGTTCAGGGGGTTCACGGGCTTGGGGTGTCCAGGCTATTTGGGGGGTTTTAGGGTAGGCTGCGGGTTTGGGATGTAGGTTAGATATCCGGGGTGTGCGGTTTGAGGTGTTCGTCAAAAGAAGGCTGACCTTTTTGGGGCACGGAAATATTGTTTATTTGGGGATTGTAAGCGTACTGTACAGGAACTACATGAGGAGTTCGTCAAAACCTGGGTGCAGATCTGCTCCCAAAATGGTTAAGACCCTTCTAGTAGGACCCCCAAGAATGCTCTCGCTTTCTCAGCAGTCATTACGTGAGATCATCATTGGCAGATGCCTCAGGGTAATGTGCACTTTCGGCAAGGAACATTAAGAGGGCAAAACACTACAGTCCTGTGCCACTGCCCACCGACTTGAAGGGCTACTGTGAGGTTTCGTTCTTGTTTTGTTGAGGGTGGCCGTACGTAATTAGACAATTGTTCGCGCAACATTAGCTCTGCATGACCCAGAAGTAAGGAGGCACAACGATGACTAGGGTTCCTGCAGCGTCGGGTCCGTCCACAAGAAGAGTTCGGTGTTCTAGAGTGTAGGCTTTCAAGGGGAAGGCAATAGCGCATCTTGATATGTTGAGAACCTGCGTGACAGGCCGCAGCCAATGCCTCTGCACCGGTCTCCAAGACAAGCTCAGAAAGTGTGAAGGCAAGCTCAGCAGCTGATTATGACGGTTCAGGGTTGAGTGTTCAGGGGCATGGTGTGTTCGGGCCGTACGCACAGCAAGCAGAGAGGCATTCGGGGGGTGTCAAGTCATCTAGGCATCCCTAGTAGATTCAAACAGCTTTGTGAGCAACCCGTCTATTGAAGTGGGTTTGACCAAGATTTGTCAGTTGAGGGATCCAAAGGTCGGTTGTCCAACCCGCTCTAGGGACTCTGAACCTACACCGTCACACAACGAGACTGACATTTTCCTTGCGAGAGCTTCCAAGAATGCATGGAGAGTACTGAAGCCATAGATAGGTTGAACGTCGGCAGATGGACAGATGCCAGACAGATCACATCAGCCAGCTGTCTTTGTAACTGCAAGTCGCATTGTGAGAGTGTTGGCTGTAGTGCGTGGGTCACAACTGTCACAATTACTGCGGATCGCAGGAGTGCGGGGTGTTCCAGGATTCTTCTCAGCTCGGGCTCTTGCATCCCCGTTTGCTTTTATCCTGTCTGGCGAACCTACCTTGCTGTCTGCACTTCTTGCGAATGTACCGAACGTAAAGCGGTTTATGAGATCTTACAGGCCATTCTGTTCTGTTTGCTGTCCGGTGTAAAGGCAAAGACCATAGCCTGAACCCTGAAACCCCAGCAATGCGCAGGACGCCTCCATCGCCCCAGCTGCAGAAACGAGGGCCACAGAGGCCTGCAAGTTAACCGGTAACGCCACAGGCATCACCATCATGAGGAGGAGGAGGAGGAGGAGGAGCAGGAGAGGAAAGAAGAGGAGGAGCAGGAAGCGCTCCTGCGCCAGTCGGTGTTGTGCTGCACCACAGAGCACGGCTATTCAGTCATTCAGACAGGCGCTGCCTAGCCACAAGGACAACAGCAGCTCAGCACATGTTGTGACCTCAGAAATGGCTGTGTGGAATGGACACTCGGTTTCAGTCGCACGGACTGAATTCTGCAGAGTCTCATGACGTGCTAGAGGGGTCGTCACGAGCCACCGAAGGAACAGGCTCCATGTTGTGCGTTCATGGGAAGTGCTTCGTTACATGGAAGGCCTTGCTAGAGGCTAAGACTCTTGTGAAATTGCCCCGAGGCTGTGCCAATCTTCGCCGCAAAGCGCGTATCTCTTGAAGATGAAGCCTTGGTCCCTCGTCATGGTTGTTTGAGCCTGTCTTGTTTTGAAGAGTTGCTGTTGAATGACTTCCGGCTGAGGATGTCAGGAACCAGGAACCAGGAACCCCAACTCAGCAAGGGACCCCATGTTTGAGGCCGCTGCTCCGAGCAGCAAGCCGTCTGCGGCCAAAGGGGCTTTGCGAGAACGCCGTTCCGCACCTTGGACAGCCCAAAGTCCAATATTCATGGAACAGTTGGAAAACACACTTGGCCATAGCCACAGAATGGGAGCAGAGGTTTCGTACTAGTTTAGCTACATGGCAGTTAGGGGGCAATCCTTCATTGTTATGAGCTCTGCAGCTGGCAGGTTCGCAAGTCTGCAATGGCAGGCAAGGGCGTCCTGAGCGCGCATAATTGAGCGATGGCCAAATGGCGAGGAGCAACCCAAAAGCTTTGCCTCTGGCCTTCGAGCCTAACACTTTGCATACCTCGCAGTGCAGTTACTAAAGCCATCGCTTTGCGCGGACTGGAGAAAGGTCCTGCGCACCGTCACAGAGTTCAGTTTCGGACCAGTGCTCCGACCCGGGTCTGTTGAAGAAAACAAAGAAAAAGCGATTGCTTGAAGAGCCGGACCAGGGACGCAGCGTGAGTAGCTCCATGGCTCACATTAGCAGAGGCGGTGTCAGCTACCTGTGGTATGCGGTTCGTATGCTGGAGATTCCACCTAGCACGACTCAATTACTTCCTTAAGTCTCAGATGCTTGGAACGCAAAATGCGTGCAAGCATCATGATCAGTCACAGGCTTGCCTTCCGGAGTCTCTTTTTCAACTGCCCTTGAGCCACTACTGAGAAGACCAGGAGCGCGCTGAGGCAAACAGCTTGCAGTGGGATGTTTCATTAGGATCAGCTGGCAACCCCAACCCGCCAGAACTAAGTCACATGATTGTTCTAGGGTCCCATTTCGTGGAAGTTGTGCTTGCATGGGTTGCCAAGTAATCCTTGTGAGCATCTGTTAACAGGTGCCTGAACAGTGCCTGCATCGGTAGCAGCGGTAGCACTGACCTTCTGAGGCGTGAGAAGCGTCGACGTAAGCAGCAGCAGCAAGTCGTGAACAAGAACAGAAAGGCGGCAACACTCGTCGACTGCGCATGAGCTGCTGTCGAGGTTATGGTTACCAAGAGAATAGGAAGGGTGGGTACAGGGGTCCTGTTTCGTTTCGAGAACGATTGATTGGCTGGATTGCCATGATGAGTGGCTGCCCGTCACTGTGCTTCCAGCTACCAGGCGGGTGAAGGCGGCGTGGGAGGACAGAGAAGCTTGGAAGCAGAAGTATTCGCGACCAGCTTAAAAGGGAGCTAGAAAAGAGAGCCCACGGATGCTTGGGACGAGTACTTGCGAAAAAGAAGTTGAAGGAGACACACCTGCTTGCTGAAGCAGTCGGCTTAGTAGGTGCAATGGGGCTGCGACGATTGTGTATGGGGAGGTCGCATTCATGAGACCGCTCGGTGCAAAACTGTTTCTGACATTCTGATCGGCCTTATGCTGGAGCTCAGGTATGTTCTGGGATGGCTTCCAGTGGGTGCCCCGAGCAGACACAGGCTCGGCCAACCACGAGCCACCTGGAATGCGCGGCGATTTCTGAGTTTGTGCTCAAGAATTGCGAGGGGCTAAGGCTAAGGCTAAGGGTTAAGTTCGTGCATCTTGCTGTGCGGGATTGTTGCAGGAGCTCCTGTGAAACAAGCTATGCTAGACTTCGTGCAGGTATCGCCAATGACGTCAATGCGTCCCGCAAGAACCGTCGTCTCTACCTAGGTTCCGGCCTCAAGGGCAAGGTAGCATTCAACAATCAGCGCATGTTGCAAAACTTCCATGTAAACTGATTGGCCTGCATTGTGGATAGATTTCACGATGAGTGAGGCAATCTTCCTTACCACCTGGGAGTCACCGAGGCACCAAAATGCCGCACCACTGTTCATGACGATTGCTCAAGCTTGTGGGATCACGGTGGTCCTGTGCGGGCCTTCTAGCTGGTAGTATAGATGCAGACTCCTGGTCTGCTGCAAACTCCTGAATAGTCTCTCAACTCTCAAGACCAAGCACGACGCAACCCACCCTGGTCTTTGACTGTATGCACTTGCGTATGCACTTGCAGGATTCCTTCTCGAAGCAGCTCTATGAGACGATGCGTGACCGTGGTATGTGCAACGACCCCAACCAGAACCCTGCCTGGATCTCGGCATCTCTCTGTGCACCGAACTGTTGGTGGATCTGAAGAGGCCGCCTCCAGGCATGACCGCTCTGCTGAGGTGCTGCACGTGTGGTTTGCCCGCGACAAGGGCGCCAACTACGGCTTTTGCGAGGTTGCGTCGCAAGAGGTGGGGATGGATTTTTTCAACGTGATATCAAGTCAGGATCCCGCCTGGGCATGAGCTTGAGCTTTGTGAGTTGGATGTGTGAGGAGACAGAACGTGCGCTGCAGCTGGACGGTATGCTTGTACTAGGCCTGGGCCTTGCGGCAATATTTCTGTTCTTGTGCTTGCATAGTTCCGCTATGCACAGTGCAAATTTACCTTAGAACTTGATTTTGGGCCATCTTCATCCTCAGCACCTCAACGATGCACAGCTATGGTTGTGTGTCTGATCACACAAGTCATGTGTGAAAGGAGTGCCTGTCTCAATCAAGCGACCGAACGATGCAGCAGGGGCCCAAGAAAGACCAACATGACTCGCAGAAACACCTTCAAGACATGAAGCCACGTGCCAAAGACCCTGTACGAGAGTCTACTCGTACAGCGAATATCTGGGAACATGTGCATTACACGCTTTTTCTCGTGATCATGCGCCGATTGCTAGAGGGATTGGTGGCCCTCTAAGGGCATGGGACACTAAGGTCAGTCCTCTGGGTATGATTGGCGGCGTACCGGTGGGCATGCAAGTTCCAGGCCTTGGGCCAACCTCTCTGCTGTGAGTGGTACCACAAAACCTCCAATACTGGTAGTAGTGCGTTACTGCAACTGCTGCTCCTGCTGGTGCTGGTGGTGGTGCTGCTGCAGCCCCTGTTTTCCAGTTTCTGCTCCACCGCATTGCAATGAACAATCTGTATCGATCTGTGGGACGAAGCAGATTCGGCATGGCTGTTGTGGGTGATGTTCAAGGGCGCAGTATCAAATTTGAGTGAAATGATAGGCCTGAGCTATGGGCAGCATCTTCGGACGTGCAGTCTGCACAACTGTTAAGAACATCTTCGCCATCCCTGCGCTGTCCCTCCACAGTCCAAATTCGCTCCGTAGAATTTCTATCGATGGCCATGGATATGGGCCCCTGACAGCACAGAAACATATTGAGACAAGGATCTTGATCAGGGAATTCCATAGAAGCTCGTGCTGAGATTCTTGCGTTGTAAATCCCAAAATGCACTCCTATATCCTTGACCTAAATCCTCAACCCTAAATCCTAAACCCTAAGTCCTAAATGATGCGGTGACTTGTGAGTGAGGGGTAGGCTACTGGTGCCAATGACGCTCCCCCAGCTGATGCTAGCACAGAAACGTTGCGTCGGGGGTGTTAGTTTAAACAAAAACGCCACATTGCCCCAATTCCCTTAATCCTCAACCCTAGATCCTAAATTCTACATCACCCTAATCCCCAAGCCAAAAAGCTCTATGGAAGCCTGGTCAGGCCAGCAGGCTTCCATGCTGGCGCTGCCCAGCGCCCAGGCCAGGCCTGTTTGCCAGCTTTCCCTTGGCATCTGATATTATGGGTATTTATAGGTATATATTATGTGTACTTTTGGAACAGGGTATGTATGGGTATATATGGGTGTATAGGGTTTCGGGTTTAGGGTTGGGAGTTTGTCAACCACCTGGTGCTGTCTTCAGCTTAGGGTTTGTGCTCGAGAGGCTTTCCGAAAGTGTTCTGATTGATCGCTTCAGTCCCTGCGCGCTCCCTCTTGTGAGAAGCTACATGATGTACGATTTCCAAATTCAGGTTTCAGAAAGGACTGCGTGTGGCGATTGGCATGGGGTTCAAGGTGAGTGCCACCAGCCCGATTATCCGCATCGACGAGATCCTGAAGGTGGATGAGAAGACCACAGAGGCCCTCTTGGGAACTAGCTGGGAAACCGCTCAACCCCCACATTTCCCTTCGTAAGCCTTTGCAACCCCTCTATAATCCCTATACAACCCCTATATAACCCTTAGATAGCCCTGTATAGGTGAGTGCATCGCAATGTAGCTACACTGGTTGGGCGCGGGCTGACGTAGGGGCCAGGCCTCATCTTCGGCTGCTTTCTAACATGAGCCACAGTCTAAACTCCTTTAAAGCGGGTTATATAAGGGATAATATAGGGGACTAATACATAGGGGGTATTAGAGGGGATGCTAGGAGTTTAGACTCTGGCACATGATAGGATGGTGACTCTGTTTCTGTTATCTTATTCATGTATAAGTGGGGGTTTCCCACAGTTAAGATAATAAGGATTGTAGTATTGGGGTCTATATCGTGTTCCCCCTATCTTTGGAAACTATCATGTATGATTATGTCATACAAGTAGTCCCAGAGCCAAATTCTAGTTGTTTAAGGGCCATCAAGGACGATTGCAGGATACCGAAAAAACTGTTGCGTCCTGTAGGATGATTACAACGACGTGAAGGAGGACATGCAGGAAGGCTGCGGCGCCCATGGCAAGCTCTTCATGGCTCCTTGCCTGGGTTTGGGGCTGTGGTATGTTTGGGGGTATCCTGGCGAGCGGTTTGATGCTACTGCTGCTGTTGTGGTTTTTTTTCTAACAATCAGAGGTTCACTGTACACAAATAGCATCAATATCGGGATCTCCAAGAAGGGATCATCATTGAGGAGCATACCCGTCAATGCAGGATAAGAGAGGTACTTTTGCTTGCCAAGGTTGCCATCGTCAAGCCCGCGCACGCTAGCGGCAATGCCACGCTCAAGCCAGGCAGGCTGCACTCCTTCACAGCCACGCATTCTTCCACCTCACCATGAAGCCGGGCCCATGCTTTTTGCGCAGCAGTTGCAAGACGATTGCAGAATACAGTCTTACTGAAGTAGATGCTGCAGAGCTCTTTAGACGAGGCAAAGTCGACTGTGATGAAATCAAGGAAGGAACCCACCGCGAGCCTTGCTCCAGGTGATGTGTACCTGCAGTGTGCCACTACCGACGACGCCACGAAGATCATGCGGGCCATGGGCCATCGAAAGTACGACGGCAGGCTGGCCAAGCATGTGTTCCGTTTGGACTGCTCCCATGGTTTAAACACTGGAAGTTGCTCAATGGTGATCTTAACGATGACTTAACCACAGCTGCTAGGTTGCCCACAGTCAGAGGACACATGAAGATGACAAGAAAAGCAAGAGTGGATAAGATATCATAATGGCAGCAATAAGCTGGACAAAAACAAAGAACCACTGAATGGCTAGCTTGCATGCTAATTTTGGGCAACAGAACTATACACCTACAAGAACGCACAGTTGCTGGTGCATGTTGCTTTGGAATGCTAGGCAGATTTCGATGACTTCCTACGAAGAGAGCCACTTGTCTCGTTTTGCGGCGGCAGGGCGGCCTATGCAGAGGTGTGCATGTGAAAGGACAGCCATGACAATATCGCGTACTTCAATCAAGAATTTCCTGTATGTATGAGAAAGAGACAGTCTGAATGTGCTCAAGGCAAACCTGCAACTGCTCGTAGCTTCACAATCTCAGGCAGCGCAGGAACAGAGCAAGAGACAAATGTTATGGGATCCATAGAGAAAGCTTGAAGTGGCTCCATTCATACTGCAGCTGAGGTAAGTTCAACTCTGAGATCAAGCCGCTATTCTGACGTCGTGCTTGTACACGCGTTGATGATTTCCATGCTCCGGCTGGCGAAGAGCAAGAAAACACTTACCATGATTCATGTGGAGATATGGCCTTCAGCTGCGCGGCTTGACATCCTGTTATTGCAGAACTGCTTAGACCAAAGGAACCAGCTGGTGGTGGGCTCCTGTAGCGTCATATGAAGCAGCGCGGTTTTGTGAGAGCGAGCTGGTGCGCGCCCGCAGTCAAAGAGACAGCAGACAGCATGATGCAACCATGCTTGGACCAATGTCTTTCGCTGCTGGGTCAGAATGAGGATCACCCAGGTTTTTCAGGCAATGGTGTCGTTGGAGTCCATCCATGTCGAGCAGCTTGGAAGTGCCTCCACTTGCAGGCGTCATAAAATCATGACGGTAGCCATCCTGTTTGAATGCTAAGGTCGATGGTCTCCGCACTGACCTTCTGCCCAAGCTTCTCAACCATTGTCACGGGTGAGGCACACGTGCAAAGTTGCAGCGTGCAGGTGTTGGATTCTTGGACTGGCTTGAAGCAGTTGGCTCTTGAGTGGTAGCAGCTGGGAGCACGGATGTGTTTCTACTGGCTGCTGTCCTCAAAAGGTGTGCTTTCTCTGATTTGAGCGCGTGGATGCCGTCTTTTCCGGCTTGGCAGCCTGGCCTGGTATGGCCTGCTAGCCATATCTTTGGAAAGCCTAGTCCCCCTACTGGATATGAGAGCGTCCTTTGCCTGGCCAGGTAGACATGACGCTGAAGGCGCGACCCTTACAAGTTTATGTTTGCAAGTTCTATATTTTCCTGTTGGACATCTCTGAGGCATACTAGTGTACCCCACATTGGCTTTTTTGGGGACGCGCATTTCCAGGAATGTGCTCATTCTTGACTTGCGCTGACTAGCGTGCAATCTTGTAAGTCCATCCTTGTTCGCTTGCCAGTTCTCTCAAGGGCTGTGCAGGAGTGCGGAGCTAGTGAGTTGCAGTTAGACCGGAGACGCAGTCATGACCATCTTTGTGCAATTAACTTCAATTTGTCTTTTTGAGGCTTGCAGATAGATTGATTGCCAAAGCCCGCACATGGGTGTTTCTCAACCGCAACACCAGGTAAGTAGGAGGGAACCTCACATTGCTCTTTCAAATTTCGTATTTCTCAGGGCAGTTGATATTCAGAGATTGCAACGTGGCCAGCAACTCAAAAAGCCCGGCAATTCCATGCTGGCGGACGATCGGCTCACGACAGAGGCCAGCGTGGACGTGCCATGACATGCCATGACAAGGGAGTTTCTCGAAAGCACCCCTCTGCGATCCTCACAAGAATCCCTACGATCTCGATGTATCCCAAGGATCCTCAAGTATACCTCATTTTCAATAATGACTGATACGCAGAGAAAGCCTTCCTGACGCACGGATGACGTCGAAGTTGCAGCCTATGGGGTACCTGTGAGATCTTTGCAGGATCCCGGCACACATGCCGATGGTTCTGCAAGCTTTTCCGGATACCAGCAGGGCCCATAAACCTGTCTTCTTGCAAGGATTTACTTAGTGTGTTGTGTACTAGGAAACAAGAAGATTAATTCCCGGGTGAAGTCTAAGTGCCTTCCTAGCTCCAGCGCCATCTGCCTGATTCCTTACTAACCTCAACCTTACGCGCTACGCATGCTCTCATTCTCCTGACTCCCACACCCCAAATAAGGCATGAATTGAGGGTTTAGGGTCTGGGGTTGAGGCGCTGAACCTACTGCAGGCTCGCAGTTTCGCCAGCTACCTGGCATCTCACTTGGCCTTTGCGGAAGCTCGGCTGGGATGTGATGAGATAGCTTCAGGAGCGCAGTGTCGGGGTCCTGAGTGAGTAGGACAGGGTGTTGAGGTCCATTCCAGGTGGAGTATTTCAGATGCTGTAAAGACATGAGCATAGGAATATGCAGAAATTTGTACTTGTTCGGGCTGCTATTTGCTTCTCAATGTTTCGCAGTCGCAAGATGTCCCGCGCCCACACGCATCAGCAATGCCAGAGCCCCGTCTCTGGCGTTCAGGGGTTCAATGAGTAAGCACAAGTCGATGCCAGGGTAGCATGTCCAATTGCAAATAGCCTCATTGCTCTATGCATGCTTGGCGGGCCTGTTCCTTACAAAGCTTCCTTCGGCTCCTGATCAGGCTTGGCTGCTGTGGGTCTTTGCATCAGATGAACGGCGCCCTGCCAGCACGGACAGCAAAGGGGCCTAATCCACATTTTGAAAGAGGTTGGTTTCGGGTTTAGGGTTTAGGTTGTCTACGGTGTCCATACTCCAGCATGTTTTTAAGGATCACCAAGAGGCACCCCGTTCAGCACAAAGCTGGAACAGCCAAGGTTGCAGAGTTGGGGTATCACCTACTATCCAGACCGGTGGTGGGCAGTGGCACTTCCCATCTACATTATCCCGTTGGCCTCTTGACTGGAATTCTCCTCCTTGATTGTCTCGAGAGTGTCACACTTTTGATTCATGACGTCAGTAGCGTCAAACACAAGAAGGGGCATTTTCTGGCCTTGCAGTGGACCTCTATGATCGTTCATGTCAACAATCAAGCAGTTTCGTAAGTTGAGTTTCAGCTTGAGCAGCTCATTCAGATTGCCATGGGTTTTATCCAAGTAACCCCTGTATCATGGTTATGAGGGACCCTTATTTTCCCCCTTTCCTTGCCTAGGTGTCCTACGGGTCGTCAGGGGCACCTTCATCGTAAGACAAGGCCCGATGACCACGACCCAAACCCTGAACGATAAATAGTCTTCGTTGATATAGTTCCTAGAAGACATCCTACAACAATTTGTGTTTTCCATCAGTTGTTCACTAGAGTATCTTACCTACTCCTGCAACTTCCATGGCAGCCGCCAATCCCAGGCTATCTTTGTGTTCCTCACCTACAATGCCTTGAACATGCTATCTGCTTGCCCGCTGGACTCGGCGCCCCGAATCAAGGAAGCAAGAACAACACGTGCAAAACTTCCTAGTGCGTAAGGAGCCTGAAAAATTTTGCCAGAGTGATTGCGATTAGCTGCCCCTCAAAAGCATATGCTACTTGCGGAGGCCTTAGGGTCGGTATCTTGAACTTACAGGACTTTCGGCGACTGGTGCAAGAGAGGGACGCAAAGGTCTGAAGTAGGGCCTGACAGACCCTGTAATATTCTGTGCATAGACCTCGCCTTAAGAGTGCCCCCAGCTTGAGGTTAACATGTACCGAGATGCGAGCACCCCACTGACAGATGAGCTCTTTTCTGGTCCTGGCGACATACCAGATCTGCAGGACCGGTGTTAGAGGGGGCGTAGGGTTGCTGCGCTTATGACAGCTAAAAGTTTGTGGAGGGATCTTGCCCTTTAAGACTCCTCAAAGACATGAAGAAGATGTGAAGTTGAAGGAACAGGGAAGACGGAATCTTCGGTGGTTGTAGATTGTAGTGTTTATGCTGAATCCATGATTTGGTCGACCAGTGACTGGGCGAGGACGTGGCCTTTTCCGCAGTGAACCGCCATGTCTTCCTGCAGCGGCGATAAACGAGATGCAGTCCAAGAACAAGTTTGAGGCCAGCTGACCTTTGCTTCATGGTCCGGAGCCCAGTTCGTCAGCTGCACACCTCTCGTTCAGGCCTATTCTGGAGCCTTCGAGCACATCTAGCAACCAAGCCTTGTTTTGCTGCGAAGCTGAAGGCCAGGCCCTCGAAGCACACCGGCGAGCTCTACACGGAGTGAATGGAAAATGGCCAAGCCAAGCCGAAAAAGGCTTCCTGCGCCGATCTTTCCATCGACCTCCTCAGCAAGTCCATTTGATGTGTGGGAAGCCGTTGGGTCCCTCGGTCTCGAAGCGCTAGGATACAGTTTGGACGCAGAACCTGGAGAGCCAAGAGCCGTGAATCCTCCCGACCGCGCTTTCCCAAAGGACAGGGGATGGGCGTTTGGAAAGGATTTACAAGGGTGCCGGCATCAGGACGCTCGCGAAGCAGGGCTGTGAGGCATAGACGGTGGTTCATCTATAAGTGGCAAGTGTCAAAAAAGTACGGCATGAGCGAGGGACCGCGGTCTTCTTTGGCTGCCAGCAGCGTTTGCCTTTGAAATGCCCTAAGCTTCCTTATGGACAGACTTGCCTCAGAAACTGGCCACACTATTCCCGTACTCGCATTTTTCCGATCTCGCGCCAGTGCTACTCCCTCAGCCTCGATCTGGTGGAGTGCTTCCCGCTGGAACAGGACGGACATGGAGTTCTGGGCACAATCCTTACAGATTTCCGTCAGGAATCCTAAGGAACTCTCTAGGGGGTGATGTCACAGAGGGATCATATAGATACAGAGCCATTGGTTCTCCCGGTCGAATCAGTGGCAATGGAAGGCCAAGTCTCTGAAGTCGTTAAGGTTAGCGGCAAACATACAAAATCCCAAACCTCTTAAATCTCAAGTCCACCCCGAAGCCCAAATGTTTCCAGTCGTCCGCGAGGCACGCTCTGAGCTGCGAGGAGACAGCCGCGGGGAGAGGAAGGCCAGCGGCAAGGCGCGCCGGAGCCCTCAAAGGGACACAAAAGCTATTATACATATATATATATATGGTTATATTGGGATAATGGAAAAGAAAATGGAAACTACTACTTAGGATTTAGGGTTTATAGTCTAAACTACCCAATAATACAGGGTTAAAAGCTATAGGGATAATGGAAAAGAAAATGGAAACTACTATATTATAATAGGGTATATGCTGGGGTTATCTTGGAGTTATATTATGGTACCCAATAATATAGGGTTTAGGGCCGTACAATGGAGAATCAAATGGAAAAGGAAATGGAAAATGAAATGGAAACTGGGGTTATATAGCCT